TTCTTTTTCCCTTTTTAAAAGAGTTTTAAAATTCAAATTTAAAAACTATTTAAAAACAAAACCATCCTGCTTTTGTGATGATGGGATAGCCTTGAAGCTTATGGTTGTATCATTGCTGTCTTTCATCTTGAACTACCTTACAGAGTAGTTGTGTAAGAAAAATCCATACTAGCCTCAACTTCTCTGTGGAAAAGTAAGATAAAAATGTATAAGTCAATCTCTTGTATATATGTTGAAGGCTGGGCTTGAGACCAACATGGATTTTGATATGACCCATGGATAAATCAAGGAGCATTCTGTAGAGAGGGAAAAGTACCAGTGCCACCTCAGAGGTTCAGGGCACTTCCAGACAGCCTGATAATCATGGACAAATAAGTGTGGCAAAAATCATGGTACCTGACAGCAAGTCCAAACACAGAGCTGTCAGTCCCTCTAAATAATCCCCTGGCAGGGGAAGTCTGGCAAAAATTTACTTTTAAAAAAAATTGACTCTTTGAGATGGGCTGGACCTCATAAGTGCTGATCCGGATATTTGAATGTACACATAAGTAGATTTCTTGTCATTATCTCTCCTCACCCTCCTGCTGCTTTTACTTTTTCGCTCTTGAACCCCTTTTCCCTTTGGTGTCACTTGCCTCTCATGTTGGTGCCCACTGTATCAATTCAAGCTCTGACTAATTTCAAAAACATCAGAATAAAGGAATGGTTGCAGAGAGTTCTCATGAGAATTGCTTTTCTATTGTGCTTCCATTTAGCCACTTGTGTCTCTGTCTCCATTTGTTTACAACCCTCATCAGCTGTTTCACTATTTTAAAATGTGGACATGTACTGGAGCAGTCCACACCAGCATATAAGAATGAAGTCACATGTTTTCCTTGAGTGCAAGGATATACAATGATGTGAATATGCACATTTTCCAGCCAAAATCAGATTTTAAGCGTATCTTTTTAACACATATTTTTCGGCTGCTACTGAGATCCAGCACACGTTTTCAGCAAACGTCATTTATCCAACCTCCCTTCTGCATTTTAGAACCTATGTAGAAGGGCCCTCAGTTGCACCTGGCTCTTGCTACAATATCTCTATCCTGGTGTTAAAAAAAATATCAATATTGACAATTTGCTGGAAAGGGTGGGGAGGGTCGGTGCTTCTTTTAATATATCCCAAGATGGAGTAAGCTCTTGCTATTCACCACTTATCTCAGATAAAGGGATGGTACCTGTTTTGATAAGAGCTAAGATACAGTACTCACAATGATCCATGGATAAGTTAGCCCAGTTCTTTGGGTTAACTTTTTGACTGAATTTTTTAGATGTATAAATGAGTGTATATGATAATAAATAACAATGGAAAGAAAACTACTGATCTTGAGGCAAACTTAAAATAAGCCAACTATATCTACCACTTTCCTTCCCTACTTCATTTCAGAAATATAGCTAAATATATTTGAAGATAGTCCATTTTTGGGAGGGCAGTTGAAGACAAGAGTGTGTATTCTAGCTCCAGAATACTGATTTTACACAAAGCTTGTTTCACACACACACCTGGGGGAACAAGTAGCTAAATAGCTTGATTAAGGATATTTCTGGAAGTAATTGGGAAACTAATATTTTAAACTTTCCCTTGGGTTGTTTATAGAAAATGGCAAATCTGGTTTAAATGAAACTTGATACTATCAATGGTATAATAGCAACTGCCACAAGGTTATGGCATCATTCAGTAGAAATTTCTGTTTCATTTTAAGCACTCACAAATCATTCATGTAAAATATGCAGCTGCATGGGAGTGACACTACATACATGATGCAGAGAAAGTGCTCAGTTATAATTTATGAGCTGAAGAAGTACATGTTTAATTAATTTTAGCATTTGAGAACACTATTGTGCTGGTGTGCTAACTCATAGTTATGTTTCAATGCAAAAACATTTACATGCTAAATTGCTCACACAGAGAGATTAGGTGAAACTCAAGTTCAAAAGACAATGACTGCTTCAACACAGCCATTTAATCTAGGTCAGGATGAGGATTTTAAAAATCTGGTTCCCTCCAGGGTGCCTATGCAGGCACCCCAGGAGCCAGTTGGAAGATGGGACAGAGTCCACAAAGCTCCACAGATTCAGAGCCACCTGAATCAATCATTTTTTCTTTGTTCCTCCAACACTGCTTGAAAACAACTGATCAGCATTTGTCTGCAGTGGGGAAAAGCAAGGCATTGAAATGAAACATTCCCATGGGAATGCTAAGCTTTCCTTGCCAAGAGAAGGCATTTATTTAATTTCTATGTGGGTTCTCTCTGTGACTCCTGAAGTGTTGACCCTGCTCTGCCAAGCCCTCCACAGGCTTCTTCTGATTTGCAGCACTGCATGGTTAAACCCCGAGGAGCTGTATCAGATTTTAAACCTTGATCCTGAATTTCCAGTGAGTTTTTAATACACCATTTCTGGCTAGATGTGAGTTGGAGGTTGTATTGTGGGTGTACATTTTGTCCATACCGTGAACTAACTTCAAGCTGGATTTTAGTGTAGCTATGGCCAAAGTTAGCATCCTAAAATGGTTAATACTATTTTTTATGGGCAGCTTTTAAGTCAGGTAACATGTCTTGCTTGTGATAATAAAGTAGAACATCTGAATGGCCACCAGAAAGCTTGGCCCTTGGAGTGAATTGTTTTGGAAGTCACTTGGGTCTTACTCTGGGAGAAAGGCAATAATGGACCTGGTCAATGGAGTGAAAGTGGTGGGATCCTTAGGTGGGAGTGACCACGTGCTCCTGTAGTTTATGATACAGAGGAAAGGGAATACTAATCGAAGTCAAACATGTGTTCTAGACATTAGCAGAGCTGACTTCAGGAAATTTAAGGAAATACTGAATGTGAATCCATGGGCAGGAATACTAAAAGAGAAGGGAGTTAATGATGGATGGGAGTTTCTTAAAAGTGAGATACTGAAGGCACAACTGTAAGCAGGGCCAGCAAGAAAAAAAGAGTAACGTAAAGCAACCAGAATGAATGACCAAAGAACTTTTAACTGAACTAAGATTCAGAAGTGGAAAAGAGGGGAAATTCCAAAATAGGAATTCAAACAAATAACCAACATATGTAGGGGAAAGGTTAATAAGACTGAAATGCAAAATGAGCTCAGGCTTGCCAGAGTGATTATAAACAATAAAATAAAGGGTGGGGGGTCATTTTCATTCTGGAAAGAAGTGACTAGTGGATTGCCGTGGGGTTCACTTCTGGGCCCAATACTGTTCAACATCTTAATGACTTAGGTCAGTGGTCCTCAAACTAAGGCCCGAGGGCTGAATACGGCCCTCCAAGATCATTTACCTGACCCTTGCTCAGGGTTAACCTTAGTCTTAAAATGACTTGAAATCACACACAACAACAACAACAACAATCCTATCTCATCAGCCAAAAGCAGGCTCACACTTCCCATTGAAATACTAATAAGCTTATATTTATTAAAATTGTACTTAATTTTAATTATTGTTTTTAAGTGTTTTTTGCACTACAAATAAGATATGTGCAGTGTGCATAGGAATTCATTCATGTTTTTTTCATATTATAATCTGGCCCTCCAACAGTTTGAGGGATTGTGGCCTGGCCCTCTGTGTAAAAAGTTTGAGGACCCCTGACTTAGATGAAGGTTTAGAAGGTATGCTTAGCAAGTTTTTAGATGACACCAAATTAGGAGGGATAGCTAATAATCCAGAGTACATAATCAGAATTAAAAATGATCTTCTGTATACCCTCTATACTTCTCATTCAATAAATTCCTCTTGTTTTTATTTCTTTAGCTCTCCCATCAAGTATGCTAAGGCCAGCTTCCAGTTTCTTTCAAATGTTTCATGATTTTCAAATTTCAGATTGCTAGAAATCTTAGCCATCTGTGCATAATCCCACAGTTTATCCTTTCAATTTTTGATACTTAATGTTTTCTCCCCTTTCCAGTCTTTGGCAATTGTAATGCGTGCAGCCGCAAAGCTGTGCAAACGAATTTCTCTCTCTGGTTATTCTAATCTATCTCTGAATATCCCTAATAGGTATAGAGGGTTAAACAAGATGTGCATAAATCCTGTGGGAATCAGTGATGGAAGCCAAGGTGGTAGGTAGCACTGGGGGTGGGTTGAGGGGTAACTGTACTGTGGGTGGTGTATGTGTATATTTCTTCAATATATATGGTTGGTGTATTTTTGAAATAAAATAAAATATTATAAAAAAAGAAAAAAAATCAAAATGATCTTAACAGATGAGAGAGCTGGGCCAAAATTAACAAAAGTATTTCAACAAGGACAAATGTAAAATTTGGCAGAAAAAAAAATTAAATGCAAAGATACAGAACTCAACAACAGTACATGTGAAAACGATCTTGGAGTCTTCATGGACTACCGGTTGAATATGACCAAACAATGTGATGCATACCTGTTATATTTCCTCTGACCTGGTGAGTTAAGGTTGGAGATTTGTTTATGCAGGAAGTTTTTCACCTGCCAGTGAAAAATCAGCAACAATGGCACAAATTAAATCTCTTTAGGAAGTTGTTTCATAGCTTTGGAGTAGCCATCAAGAAGGCTGTCTTCTGTATTCTCTGCAGACAGCAAAACAAATACCACAGGGGGTGTTAACCCTTCCCTATGCTATTCAAAGCACACACATACGTGCGCGCGCGCGCACACACACACACACACACAGAGGCTAGGGTTACACTTTAAAATGTACCTATTCCAACTTACATAGAAATTCACCTTAAGAACAAACCTACAGAACCTATCTTGTCCATAACTTGGGGGCTTCCTTTATAGATAGATAGATAGATAGATAGATAGATAGATAGATAGATAGATAGATAGATAGATAGAGATAGGTCAGTGTACTGTGTAGATGTGTCCTGGGAAAACAATTAGATCTAGACTTTGAACTCCTTTATATTTTATCAAAGTGTTTTACTAATCTCTTTTAAAAGGTTGTACAATACAACTATCTCTCTTTTTTTTTCAAAAGGAAGTTCCACCCAGAAAGCATGAGAAGCCTAAAGAGATACTTTTGTTTGAGCTCTTTCTTCTTCGTGGGACCAGAACTTGCATTGACCGAGTTGTTGGCTGGGGAGCTTTTCCTTTATATAATAATAATTTTGACACAGTGAATGGGAAATTTAAATGTCCTCTTCTCAGAGGTCACTACAACCATAAAATTGATAGGTTCCAAAAAATTGAAAATTTGATTTCTTCAGACTTGGATCACTGGTTGTGCAACCTCTATTTTCAGGTTAGTGTGAAGTAACTTTACTAATATCTATTCCTAGTGGCCTATTGTGGGTGCCACTTCGGTACTTTCAATAAATGCTATCTACAGTACTTGTCAAAGTATATTTTATGCACGAGAGCAACATTCTTGTCTAACATGAATTCAGACTCATGTTAAAGAGAGAAGTAGGACTTGTTATGCTTGAAGTTTCACTTCTCAGTGCCCTAACACCAAGGGTTTGTGACTTGTTCAGAAACTAACACCCTCTTGAAAATGTGCAGTGTAGAACTTGAGTATTACTTTAATATTTGAACTTCAAAGTAAATTCACAAGACCCATTGAGGCTCGTGGCTATGGGGAGTAATTGAATTCTTGGATTCACAAATTGATGGACAGTTGTGTTTTTAAATTACTGCACTGCATACTGAGAGCATTTAGGACAGGAATTACGAGAATTAAGAAGAAACTAATGACTCTAGGACCCCTGCAGTGGAAGTTCCCAGAGAATCGTAGATCAACCCTTTTGATTGAACATTTGAGAATATTAGAAGAATAATTTTGCATATGGCTGACCTATTCATATAACACGGTTTTCTCTTATCAGATAATTAAACTACCACGGTATTCAGATGAACAGAATGAATATGAGGCAGGCCTACAACCCTCTTCAAATCTTCTTGTTTGCTCAAATATAGCCGAGAAGAATGGTGTTTCAAAGACAGAAGTAACAGGCGGACTACAAGAAGATGAACTGAACAGTTTGTGCCTGCAACCATGTCATTCAAGACCTTTTGCCCCACTGCAAGGTTAGATATTTATTACTCAATAAATCAACAATACTCCATTTATTCTAAAACCATAGGTCTGTAATGAAAAAACATTTTTCAGTCATGTAAATGTTTTTAATGTCTTTTTGGGTGTTGAATTTTAAAAAGTCACACCACACACAGTTCTTTCACAAATTTCATTATAACAACATGGAAATGTCAAAACACATTGTGAAAAAAGCTATAGACCCATCACATTGTTTTTTGGGACATGTCCTAGGATGCTTCCAGGATGCTTTCTTGTCAGAGCTCATGGGATGCCAGGATTTTTACCATCTTGTGGGAGGCTTCTCTCATATCCCTGCATGAGAAGCTGGAGCTGACATATGGGAGCTCACTCCACTTCCCAGATTTAAGTCCTGCCGGCACAAGGGTTTAACCCATTGCGGTGCCAAGGGCTCCTTGAACTGCTATACTGTATGTTTCAGAAAGATGGGCCCAATTTGAAATCACGATATCTCTGCAACTACGAACTGGCCATTAATGAAAACCTTACCATATGAAAGAGTGGGAGTTTCAAATTATTTTCTTTAGATCATCTCTCAGCACACAAACAGCCCCTAGTCTCACTCTTTCCCAAGATGGCAGACCTGTAACTAAGACCTAATGAGATATTCTCAATTTGTAAAGTTATTTTTTAGATTTGTTTCTGACTCAAAGTGGTTAGTAAAACTTGCTAACTTGGTAACTCATCAAACCATTTGTAACCTTTTGTGCAATTGTAACTTGTTGCCGTCATGAAATATACCACTTTGAAATTGGGTCCATCGTTTTGAAACAACCGGTATAATTCTTCACTGAAAACATACAAATGTTTTCTTCTACACCATGTTAATTTGCAAATACAGATGCAGTAACAGGAGATTGCTGCAACTAAAAGATGAGCATGTATCTTTGTGCAATCTTGTATAGTGCCGCTTTCTAGGTAAATTCTTCTCTGAAGCTGAAACCCCTTACCTCCCAGTATACAAAGACTTACAGAACAGAATCCTCAAAAATAATTTTCGTATTGTTTGTATTTATTTACTTGGAGCCTTCGTTACAAATATTATTAGCTCTTAATATCCCCTGTGGGTTTGTTTTCTAATATATATCCATGCCTTGCTATGCTGTTTCTGCTGGTAATATGTTGCTAAGAGATTTAATAATGGGCAAACAAACACAACATGTGGTAATCCATTTCAAATTAAAAGTTTATTAAACGCTAGCTTGATGACTTTCTGGCTATTTACAATTAAAGGAGCAAACCTTAGGGAACTGGGGACCACGTGGTGAAACATACAGCTTTGCCATTTCTAACAGAACGAATGCATTTATAATCTGCGGCAAGCTGTTGCTCATTGATAGATTCCATAAACACTATATTTGTTCTCCTAGGACAAGACATAAAACTATGCTAAAGTGACACTAATGCCGAGACATACAAGCTAGGAAAACGTAAGAACTTAAATAAGAGTGGTGCTTCCTCTTTGACACTTTGCCAAGATTCAAGAAAATTCTAATACGAGATGCTCCAAGATACAACTGGGTTAGGAAACATGCAATGCTCTTCCTTACACATTACTCATTGTGGGCTATTCTGGACTGCCAACTCCCCTTGCTCCCTTTAATGGATAGATTTTACAAACAAGGAAAATTGACAGGGAAACTAGGTTGTTAGTCACAGGAAGAGTTAACATGGTGTGAATTCTTTGTGAACCATGCCTGAACTTAGGAGGAGATTGGTTTGCCTTGTAATGAATGCAAGAGTTTTCCATTGGAAGAGTTTTTTCTTCCCCTCCTGCTTTACCTCAGGACAAACTTAAGATCAACTGCTAATTATAAGGTGTGTTCTTCCATTATGTGGAGTCATCTATTGATGGTAATAGCTACTTAGCTTTTCCCCTCATCACACAGGGTTGCACTTGATGGCTCTTAAGACATTACCATTTTAACTTGTGAGTTTACCTTGAAATTAGCCCTGATAAGTCCTGTATTACTTTCTTCCAGATAAGAGTGCATAGGATTTCAGCTGTATATTTCTTCTTGTTGAATGCTAAATCTCACAACCTTCTAATAAGGACTTTTAGGGGCCATTTATCTTTGGATCCTGATGGCGATTTCCAGGAGACAATGTTTGGGAACCACTTCATACACTATGTTAGTGATCCAAACTTTTCCTTGGCAAAGAAAAGCACACAAAACCTACCAATTTTAAGCAGCCTGTTTTTTTCCAGTGCTTTACCTCCCTTGCTGTGCTACAATGCTAGAGGGCTACCCGCCCCAAATATCAACATGAATATTTTATAGCTATATAGCAAGGGAGTTCATTTTGCTTCCAAGCATTCACTATTAGAGGGAATGGTAAATTTTAAATGATAGGTCTGAATTTTAAGAGCGCACTTGTCACAGCTTTTGAGACACCATGTTGATATCTGTTGGAGACTGTTAAGAAAATCAGGAGCAACAAAAAGGAAATGCTAAATTTGCCATACCTATTAAGAGTGAATGTTAAGCTAAGCTTGTATATTCAGTTTTAAATTGTCTTAATGAATATTGCCAGTAAAGAAACATCTTGAGATTTTGAGTGATCTAATAATTTATAGGGCAGATTGATTTTTGCTACTAGAAAATAATGCATGTCCTGTATTTCTTGTTGTGTATATGATTTGAAGTTATTTCCTTACTTATGGTGACCCCATGAATTCCATAGGGCAGTGGTTCTCAACCTGGGGTCCCCAGATGTTTATGGCCTTCAACTCCCAGAAATCCTGACAGCTGGTAAACTGTCTGGGATTTCTGGGAGTTGTAGGCCAAAAACATTTGGGGACCCCAGGTTGAAAACCACTGCCATAGGGTTTTCTAAGGTAAGAAACACTCAGAGGTGATATGCTTTTGCCTTCCTCTGAAATAGGTTACAGCACCTGATATTCCTTGGCAGTCCCACATCCAGCTGCTCAGCAGGGCTGACACTGCTCAGCTTTCCAGCATCAGACAGGATACGTTGCCTTCAGGGTATTTTAGATCTTATTTATTTTTAGAATTTTTATCCCTCCCAAAAACCTCTTGGAGTTGCTTACATATAAGCTTAAGTAAGTTTCTAAATCTCTCTCTCTCTCTTAAGAAAACTATGCCTGAAGGCTTACAATCCAAATAGACATGACAAAGAAAAGGGACAAGAATGAGGAGAGAAAAGGGGGAGAAAGAAAGAAGCCATTCAGCAGGTTCTGCTTCCTCTCTTTATTGTTCCTTCTGCACTCAGATGGAATCGTTCATGCACTTCCTCTGTCTCTTTACTTATTTGGCCATTGCTTTCATCACATGCATTTTTGACTTCTGTGTGAAAAATTCATAAAGATATTTTTTTGGCAGAAAAACATATTTTTATATATAAATGTTTGAGTTTTTTTGCACTTAACATCTTCCCCGAAGTTCTAGAGAGTTATATGAAATTCCCTTATTGAAACAGCTTCAGTCATATATGTCAAACTCAAGGCTTGCAGGTCGAATCCATCCCACCACATCATTTTATGTAGTCCATGAGGTCCGGACACATTCCAGAGCTTGTATCTGGCACCGGCATCTCTGTAAGTACTAGCTCTGTTCTCTGTATTTCATATGCAGCAGGCACAGGAGCAGGTTTCATCTTGAATTCTGAGCATTGGTACATGCTTCTGCATTTCTCTGTTCAGCAACTCATATGTGGTGGCACAGTTATGACAACACTACCAAGGCACCCTGGCCACCCTCCAAAGTAGAACGTCCAGTGCTAAAGGATGGTGTGTGATTTGGTGTTTCAAGTTATTTATTTATTTATCAATTCTGTATACCACCACTCCCCGAAGGCTCGGAGCGGTTTACAATATACACATGTGATACATTACATATAAAATCAATAACAATATGTTCAGTTACATATAGTGTTACAATAACAGTCTTACAATGACCAACGGCTTTTTGAAGGCTGATATAGCCCACAGTGAAAATAACTTTGACACACATTACTTCAGTGGCTACTGAAGGCCCAACCCCTTTGATTGTCTTTTTGGCCTCCTCCCTCATAAATGCACTCCCTCACAAATACATTTTTTAATTTTCCCCCCACTCCTATCTTATCCAGGGTTTTATCATTTTACCTTGTGCATTTGGCCCACCCATTGTGTTTGACTTTCTATTATGTTATTTTGCATTGTTTATTTTATCTTGTTCTTTATGTATTTTATTGTGATGTAATTTTTTGTTGTTTTGTATTGTATTGTATTGTATTTTTGAACTTGGCCTCATGTGAGCCACCCAGAGTCCCCTTTGGGGAGATAGTGGTGGGGTATAAATAAAGTACATATATATACTGGTCCCCTTCCAGGTATTGTGAATAGTTTATGGCATATAAAGCCCTTATATAGCTTAGGTCCAGACTGGGGGCCCATCTACATTGACCATTTGATGGAGCTCCATGTGGATTTGAAACTGTGACAGCCACAAAGTGCATGCCTCCAATTTGTGCTGCAGCATGGATTAAGTGATATAGAGAAAGTAGCGGGAAAGTCCGAGTTAAGCTCTTTAATATGCTGCAGTAGATGCCAATATATACCAGATCCCAGGGCAAAATCAGTTTCGCAGAATGCAGAACGTATTGTAGATACTTGCCTTTGCTGGAAGGCTTTGTAGAATTCTGTATTTCTTTTTTTTTTTTTTGGGGGGGGGGGGAAGCTGATGAAAAATCCAGCATGTATTTTTTAAGTAGTCTTTCATATTGATTTATTTACATTTCTATGCCATGTTTCTCTCAGTGCGGGACCCAATGCAGCAATGTAGTGTGAGATTATTTTATGCAAATAAGACATGCTGCCTTTTTTGAGATCCATTTAACTCAGTAGAATTTACACTCTACTATCTGGGATCCCAGTTCTAGATAGAGATGTGAACGTTTCTCAGTGTTATATCAGTGATTTCGCAGAATCTATCATTGTTCTATTTCTGGAAGCCAACTGTTACCAATA